GACCTTGGCGCCCAGCGCCCCCACGGCGGCGGTTGCGGTGGCACCAGTGGCGCTCGAGGGAGGGAAGGAGGTGGCCAAGGCGCTGCGGCCCAACCCGGCGAGCAGGCCCCTCCCTTCCACGCCCACGCCAGAGGATAAGGGTGAAGAGAGATCGGCCGAAGTGCGCCACCATCGGTCACCGGGAGGAAGCCCCTGGCGCGGCCTATGTGTTCCGTCATGTCCGCCCTGGCGGACATTTCGGGAGCACATACGCGGTGCCAGCCGACGCTCTTAAGACTAGCTGTGAAACAGCTCCTTTGCGGTTGGGGGGTTTAACCCACCGCAATTGTAAACCAATTGAACCAAATACAAAAAAAATTAAAATGGAAGTACAACAAAATAACGATAAAACCAATCCTGGGTCCCTCCTACTGGGAGGGTCGGAGCCCAAGGATACGGCAGGTGGGAGTGGCTCGTCCCGCCGGTCGACATCAAGCACAGCCGATAAAAGTGCAGGGAATTCGCGTGACCCTGCCGCCAGCGGGGCTGGTAAAGTAAACGTAGGTGGGGCTGGGAAGCAGGGCCTCACCGGTGGTGAATAGCCACTGAACCGCCTGTAAACGGAAAAACTGGAGTTGGATACGACTCGAATGGCCTCGAATTTACCGAAGCCCGGAAAGATCCTGGTGTAGAAATGGAGGTGTTCGAGGATGCCTCGGACCACCACCATATCACCTCACCAATTAGGAGATCGAGTTTGTGCGGACAGGCCGACCTCGACCTTATCCACGCCCTAAACAGATCAATGGATCTGCACGCAAAATTAAAGGCGCAGGAGGATAAGGTCGATGGGATCATCATGGACCTATAGGAGCTCGTGCAGCCAGCCGAGCCCAAGAAAAGAACCGACCCTAACCCGGGTCTGAACCGGCTGTTGGAGCTGTCAGATGGCACTGTCAGCCAAAAGCACAAAGCAACCATCAGGAGTGTCATTGAGCACTTGGAACTCCTGGTAGACGCGAGAATGGTGTGCAAGAAGCTGAGGATTGCTCGCGAAAACTCGGAGGCCGAGAGGAACGCCTTACGTCAAACCGTCCAGACGAATAAAGCAGCGCGCACACCAAGTACGTTCCGTTACGTCACGCCACTATACGTCTTGGAGACGGTTTGGAACGTGACGTGACGGAACAGTGCAAAGTCGCACACTAGATGCGTCTCCTTCCGTCTGGTTTGTGTTGCCTTCCCAGAGAATCGTCATTCTACGTTTGAATTTGTTGCTGTGCGATGTGTGTTTTGTTAATTATAATATAGTTTTTAAAGTGAATTTCGTTATTAAAACTTTACCATGGACTTTTCTTCCGACGAGGAACTTATTGTAATGGCGTGTATTGCAGAAGAGGAAGAGAAAGAAAAAAAAAAAAGGTTATGGGTCCATAACATAAATTTAAAAAGAAATGAGCACGGAGAATTCCATACTCTATTTCCAGACCTTCTTCAGGATGAAGCAAAATTTTTTAAGTACTTCCGGATGGGTTCGCAAAAGTTTTTTGAATTGCTTAACATGCTGCCGCAACTACAAAAGCAAGATACAAATTTCAGACGCTGTATTCCACCGGATGAAAGACTGGCTATCACCCTAAAGTAAGTTAAAATAATAAAAGAGTATAAATAAAAACAAAAAAATATAATACATAGTAATGTATAATATACCAAAAATATTATTACTGCTTACTAAGCAGTGCTAAGCACTAAAGCATTAAAATAACTGATGAGTTTTTAAAACTAAAACTTTTTTGTAATAATACCTAATTTTTTAATTTTTTAGTATTACGATAGTGTAAAAATTAATAATAGTGAAGAATTAAAAATAAATTAAGAATAGGATAAATATTATTTTAAAATAGTGTAAGTTTTAAATTCGCTATTAGCCGGAGAAACAGTTTGAGCATGCGCCATAATTGTTATTTCATCGAGAGAGTTGTTATGTGGCGAAGTAAAAGAAGTATTTTGCTCGCTAGACAAATACGCCCTCATCTCCAAATCAGAAAGCAATGCAGCTATCTTAGCTTTTGCTTCAATTTGGAGGATGGGTGGTAGTCTCCTAGTCGTTGCCTCCATAGCAACAAAAAATGACCCAATATGGTCAAGAGGCGCTTCTACCTTGGCTTTTTTTGAAGCAAGATAGGTTTGCAGAACTTGGGCAGTCGTTGGTTGTTGAGAACGCTTATGAAATTTCTTATCCGAGTTGTTTTCTTGATTAATGGCAGTAATAGAAGTTGGCGAAGAAGGAGAACTTGTAGAAGGAGTTGGCGAGGGAAATGTGTTTGCACATGATGAACTTGGAAAAAGTAGTTCATCCGAATCTTCAAAAACTGGACTATTTTCAACAATATGCGCATCGTTGTTGTCGGGAGCTAGGTTTGATTTTTGTGCCCTTTCCTTCATATGAGGTAATAAAAAAGCCAAAGTATCCTCATATCTCCATTTGTACCGATTTTCAGCACCCTGACCACTAACAGTTTTTTTTTTAATTACGTTTCGCCGAAACTGGTCGCGAAGACTGGTCCAACGTTTTTTGCATTCTATGACTGAAAAGTCACATATTGAAAATAAATATACGTATTATAAATATATGTAGTATTTTTATACTTAATTATTTAAAATTAAAAAATAATTTATAAAAAAAAAATAAAAATTAACTATACAAATTTTTTTTTTAATTGATAAATTGATCAAAATATGTTTTGGTACGTTGCTTGATATATTAGTTAAACTGGTTTTTTTTTTTTTTAAATTTCCTTCTTAAGTTAATTAATTTTTTTCAGATTTTTGGGTTATGGAGACTCTTTTTCAACTATTTCATTTAGCTATCGGATTGGCGAATCTACGGTTCGCAAAATAATTTATGAAACATGCGAAGCCCTATGGAAAGTTTTGCAACCAATCTATATGCCTCAACCAACTGAGGAACAATGGCAACGAGTGGAAGAAAAGTATTGGCGAATCTGGAACTATCCAAATTGTATAGGTGCATTGGACGGAAAGCACTGCGTGTTTGAAAAACCACCGAAAACAGGCTCCATGTACTTTAATTACAAAAAAGAGTTCAGTATCGTCTTGTTGGCTCTTGTTGACGCAGATTATAAGTTTATATCTGTAGACGTCGGTGCTTACGGAAGAAACAGCGATGGTGGAGTTTTTAGAGCATCATCCTTGGGACAAGCTCTTGCTAATGGAACTTTAAATATTCCTCCACCAAAGCCGTTACCACTCACGGATGTAATCGCCCCCCATGTGATTGTTTGCGATGAAGCTTTTCCTCTAACTACCAATACGATGAGACCGTTTCCAGGGCATGCGGTTGAGAACAACCGCGACAATAAGGTCTACAACTACCGCCATTGTCGAGCTAGAAGAGTAGTTGAGAATGCGTTCGGAATATTGGCGAAAAAATTTAAAATTTACAACAGGAAATTCAACTTAAAGCCAGAGCACATGGACACAGTTGTTTTGGCGACGACAGTTTTACATAATTTTTTGCGTAATGATAAATGTTATTGGCAGCCAGGAGAATTGGAAGATACAAAATCTCCAGAGGGGTTGAACAATTTTACAGGAGTTGGAGGAAATAATCCACGAGAAGCTTACAATATAAGAGAGAATTTCAAGCAATTTTTTGTGTCGGATAATGGTTCAGTACCGTGGCAGTGGGAAAAGGCGTTTGCAACCCGAAGTACTTCTTAAAAACGAATGTTGTTAAAACTAAATTATTATATAATATTATGATTATTATTAAATAATATTGTTATCTCAGTTTTTTTAGATTATTTGGGTAACTTAGTAGTGGTGATTTATAAATAACGAATTTTATGAGTCATTTTACACAAAACAACGTCTGATGTTTTATTATATTGATGACCGGCCGCCGACCATCGGACGGCAAGATCTATTGAAAAGGGTTGAGAGAGGAATTGTTATTGTCGTTTTATTCAGACATTAAACACCAAACATTGACTACTATTTCACAGCGAAGTATAAACAATCAAACATATTTAAAATTGTCTCAATATAAAAAAATCAAATTTTCAACGATAAAAAATATTGCTGTAGGTTTATAATTATATATATATACACATATATTGAATGTGTATATATACTTATATATAAATATATATATTAATGATAACGAAAACTTATCGCAGACATTATATAAATAATTTTGGGGTATTTGACTTGCAGAATTACACAAGTTGATCACGATAGTTAATTCCTTATCACTAAAGGTAATTAAAAATTCTATTAGGATATTTTTGTTTAATACAATGTTTGACGTTTATATCTAGTTAAGTCATACAGCATATCCACCGATAGAAAATACTATGAAAAATAGCTTAATATGTTCAAATAAATGCTGACTATAAAATGAAATTACCAGAATTTCCAACGGTTTTCGCAATTTCTTCCCAAGCGTATTTAAGTAATCGCATATCGGCATGTCCTTTTTCACTGGCATCATAAATAAAGTTATACTTCCGCACGCATTCAATTAATATTTCGTCTTCCATTTTTTCAATAAAATTGAATTAATATTTTTATTAAATAATCTTAAAAGAATAATACTCCAACAAACTTAACCTAACCACAAAGAAAAATATTCTTTGCTACACGTGCTCTGCGCAGAAACTTTGCCGCTTGGGGCGTGCGTAACAACGGTCATCGGCAACGGTGTGCAGCGGTCATCAACCTACCGTCGTCCGTCAATTTTGCCCTAAACAGCAACCTATCCGTCTCCTAACGTCTCCGTCATGCGTCCAAGCGCGACGTGACGTAACGTAACGTAACCTATGTGCGCCTGTTCATAAGAGTTTATAATAAGCAAACCTTTCGGCTCAACGGAAGCTGCGACGTAACGTGACGGAACGTATTTGGTGTGCGCGCTGCTTAAGGCAACTACTCCGATCTTCCTCCTCCAACAGGAAGCCCCGCGGAAGAAAAGGCAAGTAGTAATGGTGGACGTAGGCATGCATACGCCGAACTGGGAGCCGTATTCGCCTATGCGGGATTCGCCGCAGCTTCAGTCTCCACTGAAGCCAAAGCAACTGCTGAAGTCACCGACCAAAAGTCAGTCCCACCCCCAACTACAGCCGCAGCCACAACCGCAGCCGCAGCAGCAGCCGCAGCAACAGCCGCAGCAACAGCCGCAGCAACAGCAGCAGCCTCGCCAGAGCCACAGCCCCGGCCAAGGCGGCGCAGGAAGGGCCAGCAGTTACAGCAGCCACAACCGCAGGTGCAAATGAGGCACCAGCAGCGGCCGCCGCAACAGCAGCAGCGGCAGCAGCAGAAGCGTCAACGACAGCAGCAGCAACAGCAGCGTCAAAGACAGCAGCCGCAGCGTCAACGACAGCAGCAGCAACGGCAACAATCGCCACAGCAGCAAGGGGACTCGATCTCTCCCAACGCTGGCGCTGCAAATAGGAATAATCCGCGGGTCAGGTTCGTGGAGCCCATTGTGCGGTGGAGCGAGGTGGTTAGGAGGAGGCCTGCGGAAAGAGAGCCGCAGAGAAGAGGGCCCACTCCCGACGAGCTAAAGAAGAAACTGCCTAAGACGGAGGCAATAGTCATCGGACCACTACCGGATGGCGCGTCCTACGGTGTGGTCATGAAGAAGGCTATTGCAGCCGTCAACTTGCCGCTAGGGATGACCATCGGTAGCTCCACCCGCACGCGCAACGGCGCTGTTCTACTGCAGTTAAAAGGCACCCCTATGCAGGCTGACGAAGTAGCCGCTAAGCTGAGGGAGGCAATAGGACCGGGAATCAGGGTCGGCAGACCTAGTAGGAAAGCGTCGATCCTGATTCTCGACGTCCAGGAGTGGGTCGAGGCAGAGGACCTGCAAGCAGCGGTCAGATCAGCCTTGAGCGATGGGCCGGCGGCAGAGCTCCAGGGTGATATACCATTGCCGGTTATCACCCGGAGCGAAACCGGCAGGGGCGGATTTAGTCACATGGCAGTCCCCATGAAAGTGGCGGTCCAATTGGTCAGGACCAAGAAGATCCGAGTCGGCTGGAGCAACTGTCGTGTCAGGGTCCTCGAAGACAGGGGACCCAGGTGCTTCAGGTGCCTACAACGCGGCCACATAGCCACCGAATGTAAAGGGCAGGACCGCACTGGGTGCTGCTTCCGGTGCCATGAGGCGGGCCACATGGCCAAGGACGGCCAGGGGCCCATCGCCAAGGGCAAGCAATCCAAGCGCATCGACTCGAGGGAAGAGGGCCGCCACCGTCCAGCCCCCTCAGTCACAATCGAGGACGTAGGGGTTAGCGAGGATGACCGGGAGCAGCGGAACTCCCAGTCAACATCGGGAGCGTAGGGAGGCAGTGCATGAGGTTTCTGCAAATTAACCTCAACCACTGCCGACTTGCGCAGGACCTCCTGACCCAGACGGTCTCGGAGGAGAGGGTCGATGTGGTAATAGCATCTGACCCTCATGGCGTTACCAACGACGTCGGTGGCTGGATCACCAGCGGAGGGACCAGCCGTGCAGCGATCGGGATCTTCGGTAACGGAATCCCGGTAGCGGCCATCCAGCGAGATGACGAGTACGTAGCAGCTAGGGTAGGTGGCGTACACATCTACAGTTGCTATGTATCTCCGAATCAAACTGCGAGGCAGTTCACGGCGTTCCTCCAGCGACTTGAGGACAGCCTAAGGGTATTAGGGCCAACCGCTAAAATCATCATCGCGGGAGACTTCAACGCGCGCTCGACAGACTGGGGGGACTGGGTGTCCGACGCGCGAGGGGATGGCCTGGTATCCCTTGTCGACGGGCTGGACCTTGTGGTGGCCAACGAAGGGGCGGAACCAACCTTCGTTGGGAGGGGCCGAGGCTCAATAGTAGACGTCACCTTGGCAAGAGTCTACTATTGGAGCGTTGAGTGGGTGGAAAGTACGGTCGGAGGAAGATAACCACTCCGACCACCACACCATTCAGTTCGAGATGTTGACTGGTAGGCATCCGCACCGCACCACTCAACATCTCAAAGGCTGGAAAACCACGAAGGGCATCGGCGGGGACCTCTTCACCGCTGGGTATGCGCTAGCCAAGTGGGGAAGAGAGAGCATGGAGCCGCCAGAAGACCCCAACGAGCTCGTGGAATGGTGGGCGGCGGAGTTCGAGAGGCGTGTCACGGACACTTGCAACTTCGCACTACCCACCAGGAAGGACCCACCAGGAAGGGTCCACCAGGGGCAAAACCCCCGGCCCACTGGTGGACGGCTGAAATAGCCGAGCTCAGGAGGACGTGCACGAGAGCAAGGAGGGCCGTCAAGCGTGCCGCCACGCGGGAAGCGGCTAGGGGCGGTAGAGAAGCCGAGAACATCTCTGCAGAAGCCCTGGCGGCGCTCAGAGAGGCAAGGCGGAACCTCAAGGTGGCAGTTCAACGCAGCAAGAGGAGGTGCTGGGACGAGGTTGTGCAGTCCGTGGACCAGGACCCGTGGGGAAAACCCTATAAGCTGGTGATGAAGAAGCTTAAACCTTGCGAAACGTACAAGGCCGATTCGGCCTTTATGCTCTCCATGCTCAACGCCTGTCTCAAGGCGGGTAGCTTTCCCGCTTGTTGGAAGCAAGCGCGACTGGTGCTGCTTCGCAAGGGGCAAAAGCCGGTTGACGAACCATCGTCATACCGGCCGTTGTGCCTCTTGAACGACGTGGGGAAGCTACTGGAGTTTTTGCTAGTCCGCCGGTTAGAGAAACACCTCGACGAAAGAGGGGGGTTATCACACCGGCAGTTCGGCTTTCGTAAGGGAAAGTCGACGGACGACGCACTGCGTATGCTTCGAGAAGAGGCACTCACTGCTGTGAACAGCTACCAGGCTTGTGTGGCAGTCAGCCTGGACGTCAAAAACGCATTCAACTCCATCGGCTGGCGCCACATAATGAGTGCCCTCCAGAAGTGGGAAGTGCCGCTATACCTACAGCGCATTTTCAGCTCCTACTTCTCGGAGCGGGCAGCCAGGATTGCGTGCCCAGCGTGGGAGGACGGAGAGCTGCGGGTGGAGGTTTCCTGCGGCGTTCCACAGGGATTGGTTGTGGGGCCGACCCTATGGAACCTGACGTACGACGCGGTGTTGCGAGCCGAACTACCGGGCCAGTCAACGGTAATCGGCTTCGCTGACGACACGCTCGTCATCGCCTCTGGCAAGACGGTCGAGGAGGTCGAGGACAGAATGAATAGAGCTCTGGACGCGGTAGCAGCCAAGTTCAGCTCTCTGGGCCTGCGCCTGGCCGCCGAGAAGACGGAAGCGGTGTCGTTCAGGAAGAACTACAAGGATCGGATTCCACGTATCTTCCTCAATGACGTAGAAGTTGAGGTAACCGAGACCATGAAATACCTATGGGTCATCGTGGATCGCGACCTCAGCTTCAAGCAGCACGTCAAGGCTGCGGCGGTTAAAGCGCAGGGTGCGCTAACGTCCTTGTCAAGGCTTATGCCAAACATCGGCGGCCCCCGTGAGCCAAGACGAAGGCTGCTCGTCAGTGTCGTCCACTCGATACTCCTCTACGGAGCCCCGGTCTGGGCCATCGGGCTTCCCTACCGGAAAGCCAACGCAGAGGAGCTATTGAGAGTGCAACGCAGGGCTGTACTCCGAAGCATCTGCGCGTACCGCACCGTGTCGTACGACGCAGGAAACCTTCTGGCGTCAATACCACCAGCTGACCTACTGGCCATAGAGCGGGAAGAGGCGTTTCGGCTGCGCCGGCTAGCTGAAGAAGAGGAGAGACCTCCACACCCCCTTCGGGTTTACACCCTGAACAGGTGGAAGAGGCGGCTCCAGACTGCGACGGGGGGTGAGTGGACCCGAACACTCATCACGGACCTCAAGGGCTGGGTGGGGCGTAAGCACGGTCACATGTGCTACTGTCTCACCCAGTTGATGTCAGGGCACGGGTGCTTCAACGACTTCCTTCACAGGATCGGAAAAGCACCCAGTCCAACATGTTCGCATTGCAACATGCTGGACAGTGCCTACCATACCCTCATGGAGTGTCCAGCCTGGTCATCCCAGAGACTGAAACTCTGTGAGGTAATTGGTGACATCGACCCGGGAACGATGGTCGGAAGTATGACGGCCAGTCCGGAAGCATGGTACGCTGTCGCCCGTTTCGCTGACCTAGTCCTTAGGGAAAAGGAAAATGCAGAACGGGAAAGGCAACGTCCCGTCAATGCTTAGAGCAGACGGTGGTCGAAGGCGGCGGGTGCGTGCGTCATCGGCCCGAGAAGTCACCACTGTAACAAAATAAACATATTAACATAGGTTAGGTTAAGTAATAGCTCAATTGTATAAACTGTATAAAGTAGTTATAGGTAGTTATAAGCGAAATGTAATTAAAATTTAGTCGGGGCCCAATGTGCATATTGTTATTGGGCCCCCACCCTAAGTGGGTGTGTTAGTTTTAAGTTAGCTTTAACTACAACTGTTAGTGTTAAGGTAAAATTTTTAACGGGTGTGTGAAGCACCCGTTTAAACAATGTTGTGTTTTATTAATAAACAGCATCGGAGAACTGGGGGGAAGTAATGCCTCACCAGGCGGGTTCCCCCCCAGTTTTCTACGGATGCAAGTAAAAAAAAAAGGTCTTAGGGCCGTATTATTGCGCAAAGGACAAAAACCAGAGAGTGTACCGTCGACATACCGACCGCTGTGCTTGCTAAATGATGTAGCTAAGCTGTTCGAGTACATGCTGGCGCAGAGGTTGGAAGATCACTTGAGAGACGGTGGAGGACTAGCAGACAACCAGTACGGGTTCCGAGCTGGACGATCCTTGGATGACGCGGCCTCGGAACTAAATATTAAAGTGGTGGCGGCGGTGGATAGAGCAATTTTGTGTAGCCATCGATATGGACATTCGAAATGCTTTTAACACCGTGAGCTGGAACAACGTGCTACGGACTATGGAGCATCGGAACGACCCGCCGTACTTAGTGCGGATGTTCAAATCATACTTTAGAGACAGAGAAACGGAAATGACACTTCCGACCACTGAGACACCGATCAAGGTAAATGTCACGGCCGGTGTGCCGCAAGGGTCTGTGGTAGGACCGCTGTTATGGAACCTAACATATGACGAGGTGCTTTCGATGCCCATGTTGGCTGGGGCTGAGCTGCTAGTGTTTGCCGACGACACATTGGTTGTTGTCACGGCCAAAACTACCACACAATTGGAGGTAATTGCGAACAAAACTTTGGAAGCGATTGTTCAGAAAATCTAAGACTTAGGGCTATCGCTAGCGGTCGAGAAGACCGAGGCAGTGTTATTTACACGTAAGCGGGTTTTTACGCCGCCTAGAATTAGAGGAAATGGAGAGGATCCGACGAGGCGAGAACCAATAGCTCGGCGGCCTACACGAGGCGGAGCTGAAGATATGTGAGAAGAAAAGAAAGAAATCATATTTTATTCTGTTTTTGGTAACTAATAATTAATGTCCTCTCTGCCATTGAAATCAACCTCCCTAACACGCAATTTGGTTTTCGACACAATCACTCAACTATACACCAAGTGCACCGCCTTGTTGACAAAATATCATACACACTAGAAAAAAAGCTAGTATGCACGGGTGCATTCCTAGACATGGCCCAGGCCTTCGACAAAGTGTGGCATGAAGGCCTCCTCTTTAAGCTAAAATCCTTTCTTTCTCCATATTTTTATCTATTATTTAAATCCTACTTAGAAAATAGACATTTCGCTGTACGTTCAGGTTCCTCCTTGTCTTTGTATTTGTATCTGATTGTATACTTGTTGTATTGTTTATTTTTGTTTTTCATAATAAACGGCGTCGGGATAGCAGGGGAAGTAATGCTAAGAGGTAGTACCCCCTGCTATTCTATGGACACGTTGGAAAAAAAAAAAAAGGTAAGTTTGCACCAGTCGATGCCATATCAACTGTGATGGACGTGGTAAACAGGGTGAGGGGTAATTTAACACGGCGAGGTGGTGCAAGATTACGGAAGCGTTGAATAGGAAGAGAACACCAGCCTACTTGATGAGAGTCATCTATAACTACTTGAGTGAGCGGACACTAGTGTACGAGGAGAGCAAAAGTATGACACTTTCATGCGGCATTCCACAAGGGTCGGTACTAGGGCCACTTTTGTGGAACGTCATGTATGACGATTTACTCAGCTTAGACGTCGAAATAAGACTTCAGGGTCCATCTACGAGTACACTGGTAGCTTTCGCAGACGACATAGCGATAATAGCAACAGGCAGAACAACCGCAGCACTGCAGACCGCAAAAAATGCGACGCTAGAGGCTGTCAGCGAATGGCTAGAAGACAACGGCCTCAAGTTATCAATAAGCAAGACAGAAGCA